TCTGTAAACAAAAAAGTTTTGTTGGAGGGTAGCCGGTCCCCTTAAGTAAAATCTAAAGGCTTTATCTATAAATGTAGCGGTAGCGCTGTAGCGGCAAAACCTCGTATCGCTACTTAAATATGTAGCGGGCGCTACCGCTACCGCTACATTGCCTTAAATGTAGAGCCGCTACCGCTACCGCTACATGTAGCGCGCTACTGCCCACCTCTGCTAACCTGAGTTAATTTAACATCAACTTTCAGTTGGTTATAATGGCTTATAGATATCCACGATCTGCATCAATATTCCATACAATATTTATTTCATGGTTGTTGCAGGTACCAATTATACCCGGTGGGTAAACTGGTGAACGTTCCTTTGGAAGTTTAACTCGTGATCAGTTCTAAGTGCCCACGGACGGCATGATCTGAGGGTATATATCTAGTATAGTATAGTATAGTATAGTATAGTATAGTATAGTATAGTATAATATAGTATAGTATAGTATAGTATAGTATAGTATAGTATAGTATAGCATAGTATAGTATAGTATAGTATAGTATAGTATAGTATAGTAGTATTGTATCTTCGGCGTTGAAGAATAGGCCTGGATAGACCTGTAGCCGATTCGATTCGATTCTAACATGGGGTTTTTCCTTTTTTCTTTCATGCTAAAAATTGACAATATTACCTCATATTTATTTCCCGATTGTGCTTACATTTTGGCAGTTTCATGATAGGATAATCATTGTAAAACCCATCAGTTATAGGTTACATAAATAAATAAATAATTATGGGAGGTTAAGCTTTGATACATGTAACCTGTCATAAAATATTGGGAATATCATCGCAATGGAATTTAGGAATGGTAATTTGTGAACGAGTGCACATATAAATTTATACTGCGTTGCCTTTCCAATTTTCATTATAATCGATAATGATTATTGATGGCTCGAAACGTCGTACTATTGTACTGAATTGTTCCTTGGAAACTTTGATGATTTAGCGTGCCAAGGATTAAATTAATTTACCTTCACCAACAATTTTATTAAAGAACGACACACATGAACTAAAGAACTGGAATTAAATGCTAACGAGAATCTAAGAACATCAATTAACACGTTTTTTAGAATAGATGTGTATAAGAGACAGGAAGCGAGCGTCAACCTCAGCCACAGCGGGGGAGGCCAAAGCCGTCGCGCGAACACTCGAGAGAAAAANGTGCTTAACCGCCCGGCCTCCTTGCCGATTCTGACCAGAAACTGGCGCACAGAGCTGGGATCGAACCCGCGCCTCTCTGCGCCAATCTTGGTACTCTGAACTTTAAGCACTGGTTAAATAATAGCTCTAAAAATAATATATAACTTTACATAGCAGAATAAATGCTTCTCGATTGCACCAATATTGCATTAGGCGTCTCAAAAATTTAAGACTGATGTTTAGTTTTTAAAGTTTGGCCTTGACCAAAGTCAAGACTCTCGAAGGCATGCATCATTTTCTGACACTTTCTTGTTCAAACATTGAATGTCCCACCGCAATTAATGAAGACTGGGAAGCGCGGTTCGGCTCCGTCTCATTATGAATGCGATTGATCCGATACATCATCTCGGACTAGAGGCTTTTTAGCGCATTTTCTCATTTATGGAAAAAATGCACTATTGTGCTCGTCATGTCCGTCTGTCTGTCTGTCTGTCCATCTGTCCGCCCTCAAGTTTTCGTCGACGAGAAAGTCTGTCTTTCTGTCTGTCCGTCCGTCTGTCCATCTGTCCGTCCGTCCGTGACCTCAAGTTTTCGTCGACGAGAAAATGCGCTCACTGTCACTCACTGCAGTGGGTACTGAGTTCTATTTTTTGTGTTTGAACTTGAGCTGGACGATTATAATGAGATTCTGAAACCACCTAGATAATTATTATCCATTGACTTGTTACTCTTGAAAAACGACTTTAGTAGATCCGGCTTGATGAACAACTCTAGTATCGGATAATTCAACATGAACAACTCTAGTTTCGGATAATTCAACATGAACAACTCTAGTATCGGATAATTCAACATGAACAACTCTAGTTTCGGATAATTCAACATGAACAACTATAGTATCGGATAATTCAACATGAACAACTACTAGTATCGGATAATTCAACAGGAATATCTATAGTATCGGATAATTCAACATGAACAATTCTAGTATCGGATATTATCGGATAATTCTATGAGTATCGGATAATTCAACATGAACAATTCTAGTATCGGATATTATCGGATAATTCTATGTCGGATAATTCAACGGCCGTCCGTCAACGGATAATTCAACGTCACCGTTAGGTCCAAATCTAATGATCGAGAAATATTTCCCAAACTAATGAACGCTGCATGATGAAGCTTGGTACACGAATTTGTTAGAACCTAACGGTGATGTTTAGCTCGTGAAATTTTGTTCGCTTTCTCCTTCATTTGTGAGTTATAGGGCGAAATGGGCCGAAAATTACAGTGAGATTTCATTTAAACTACTGATCAGGTTTGAACGAAACTTTTAATATACACTCCCAACCACCCAGCGTTCATGTTTCGATGGTGACAATTTTTTTCGATTTTGCCTTTGTTTCCGAGTTTTTTTTTTCAATTTTACCTTCATTCCTTGGTAATACAGTACTACGGGCCGAAATTCGCAATGACCATGACATTTCTTTGAGCTTCGTTCATTACTTTGGGAGATAATTTTTGGTCACTGCAAATTAGAAAACCGGCCTCAAAATCGGCCTCAGAAATGCCGGTCGTTTCTCCGTACAGCCGTATATCTCGCAAACGAAGGCAATATATCAAAAATTGTTGCGAGCTAAACATCACCGTTGGGGGGTTAGATATAAATACATATATAGTCGACGTTTCGATCAAATCTATCCTGTAGTTTAAGTAAAATCTCTTGGTGACTGCAAATTTTAAGCCCATTATACCGTATAACTCACAAATGAAACACACACATATCACATAAACTTGGTCCAATCAAACCTTAACTACTCTACTCCAGACTAACCTTAATATCGACCGAAACCTTGAATGTACCATTGAAGGTAAGTAACATTAACTAACCTTGCGTCACAGTAATTTGTGCACAAATTCTTACATTTTGGGTCGATCCACATGAAATTCATACCTCTCCGTTGTTGCATTCGCATTAACGCCTGCATAGTGACTCTTTCATTATATTGCAATTTTTCAATAACATGTTATAGGCATGTTGAGAAAATGTGCCTTCTCGCATGTTCTAAACAACGCACGGTTCCCTCGGTTGAAATTTATTCAATTATAAATGGCAAAAATGATGTTCAAATTTCACGAGCATCAATTCAGAAATTTCTGCAATGGAATTTGAATAAATTATGTTTCAAATTCAACTTGAAAATTTCTCCAATTATAGAAATTTATTTACATTAGAACTGCAAAAAAACTGTTCAAATTTAACGCGTGTCACTTTAGAAGTTTCTGAAATAGAATTAATATAAATAATTTTTTAGGTTTTTACGGTAAAAAGTAATTTAAACAAATTCTATTGCATAGTCGGCTGAACTGACACTAGCTAATTAGAAAAAAATATGTTTGACGTTCTAAAATGAATAAATTTCTAGGTTTGGGGGAATTTTCAGGCGGATTTTAAAAATGTATATTGCTTAATCTATTTTTCCAAACGGCTGAACTGACACTGGTAAAATTTGGACAGTGTTATTGCAGTTATGAAGTGAATAAATGTCTATGTTTTCAGGAATTTTCAAATTGAATGTAAAAGTTATTTATGTGAAGTGGCATCACACCGCCTGCTAATGATAGGGCAAAAACAACCCTCCGGAAGTCGGTACCTGTTGATCGTCTGAGTGAGAATGAAAATATTTAACTTGGTGTTTATTATAAATAATTGTCTTAACGGTTGTCAAGGCCGCCGCTTTACTGGCTAAAGTAAATAATAGAGGCAGGCACTTGTAATATCTGCCCCTACACTATATCCGCTGGAGCATTATGATAACCGCAACAACATAACGCCATGTAGGAGCATAACGTGCAATATTCTTGCCAACATGACGATATCAGCTACAACATAACGCCATGTAGAGCATAATGTGCAATATTCTTACAACATGACGATATCCGCTACAAAATAACGCCATGTAGGAGCATAATGTGCAATATTCGCACCAACATGACGACATCCTCTACAACATTACGCTATGTTGTGGCATAAGGTACAATATCCGCTATAGCATTATGATAACCGCAACAACATAACGCCTTGTAAGAGCATGACGTGCAATATTCGTACCAACATGACGATATCAGCTACAACATAACGTCATGTAGGAGCATAATGTGCAATATCACTTACAACATAACAATATCCGCTACAACATAACGCCTTGTATAGAAGCACAACGTGCAATATTTCTTACAACATAACGCCATGTAGGAGCATAACGTGCAATATCCCCTACAACATGACGATATCCGTTGCAACATAAGGCCATGTAGAAGCATAACGTGCAATATCCCTTACAACATGACGATTTACACTACAACATAACGCTTTGTAAGTCCGATTTCCCCGCCTACAGGTCTGGCCTGATTGCCGCGATGTTATTAATTCCCCGGTGCTGGGGCCATACTTTCAGAACTCGCTAAGTGAACGTGAGTACCTACTTACGCTCTATTTTCTTGTCTATGATTGGTGGATTTTGCTTGAAAGACCGTCAATGATTGGCTGATGAACTTACGATCTCTTAACTTTCCAGCACCCCAGCAGCTACAGTACCCCAGCAGCTGCAGCACCGCAGCAGCTGCAGCACCCCGTCTTCCGGTTGGTCCCGTCTCCCGACGCTCGTTTGAGGCGCCGTTGCCACGCGCCCTCGTCCCATTCCGATGCCGGCGTCCGTAGCGACAACAACGCGTCGCTCTTCATCTCAGTTCGTCACGAACCGTCCGTACTAATTCCTGTCCTGCACCACGCCCTGAGTTGGAGCACAGAATATAGAAATCCTGATCTGCGGCATACGATTCCAGCGTAATCCTGATTTGGGGCATACGATTCCAGTGTAATCCTGATCTGCGGCATACGATTCCAGCGTAATCCTGATTTGAGGCATATGATTCCAGCGTAATCCTGATTTGGGGCATACGATTCCAGCGTCTTGCCTGAAAGTTTGCAAAAGTGGTAAAGAAAACTTCTCTGCAGACTGCTGGTGCTGAAGGAAAGTGCTTTGCAGACTGCTGGGGCAAAAAAGTTCTCTGCAGACTGCTGGTACGGAAGGAAAGTGCTTTGCAGACTGCTGGGAGGAAAACTTCTTTGCAGACTGTTGGTGCGAAGGGAAGTTGCACTGCAGACAGCGGTTACCATTAAAAAGTGTGTTTGCCACGGATCGGCTGCCCTTTTGAATCACGCGTGTCAGGCATAAGTGCCTTCACAATTGATTGTCACAATTTGTTGTTAGAGAAAAACGTCAAAAAGAGTTTTTTTTCAAAGTAAAAACTTTAAATCTTTCTTCTCTAATTGTGAAGTGAACATTAGGCGTTATCCTATCCTTGAGTTAGTGAAGCGTGTTCAACTGTGCAAAAAGTTTATAAATACACTAAATTTATTTGGACTGATGAGTGAAAGTGAACTGCATGTGGTATCATCAAAGTGCTCTTCGGTTTGTGAGTGGAAAATTTTGAAGTAATTCCCTATTGAAACAAAATTGGTTCGAGAGGCGACAATAAAAATTTATAGCAAGAATTGCACTAAATTCAAACGAATCTTTTCAAATTTAAAATTCCAATTACGAAATCTGGCTGCAAATTCTGATTGATTAGCGCCGTTTCTCCTGCAAGAAAAGTGCGAAGACAACATATTGGTAATTTTTGAAAAAAAAATTGACGTGTGAATCCTATGATCTGTTGGAGGTTTGTTAAATTTGCAAGAAGATAAATTATTGTTGATTTGTGTTTGTCACGAATCGACAGAACTGAACCTGAAGTTCTTCATTAAACTGAATTATCAATTCGTTGAATTTGCTAGTAAAATGTTGAACCTCGATGAGCAAGCGACGCCTCTGGGGTCTTGCCCTTCCCGCAAGGGGAGACGCAGGAACAACAACAAGAAGAAGAGGAGTCGCGACCAAACTCCTGCTGTGGAAGAACCCAATCGACCCGATCACCTTCCTTCTACTTCCTCCCGCCGCAGACGTGGGCCGGGCGATCAAAATTCTTCTGCCATCCGAGACGCTCCCCGGCCAAAGGGCACGTCTGCGTCACGGCTGGAGGAACTGCGTCTGTACATGGACAAGTTGAGGGAACTTGTGCCTCATAAGCACGACAGGGAAGACCAGCCGGAAGACCTTATCCAGAAGACCATCGCGTACATCTGTGAACTCCAGAAGACCCTTGAAAACCACCCTCGCTTGCAGGGCTTAGACCCGAGGGTCATTGCCGCCCCTGGCAACGCTCTGCCTCCGATGGAGATGCAACAACTGCTGTTGCAGCAGAGAAAGCAGCTGCGACTACAGCAGTTGCAGCAGCAGTATTTGCAGCAGCTGCAACAACAGCCGCCTCAGCAACAGCAACGTTACCACCAGATGCAACAGCAACAGCCGTACTTCCCATTCGGGGACTCAGAACAGCTGTTCCAACCCCAGCAGAACCAACACCAGCTAACACAACAACAGCGATACCGGCAGCAGTACCAGCAGCAACCACAACAGTACCAACAGCAACCACAACAGTACCAGCAGCAACCACAACAGTACCAACAGCAACCACAACAGTACCAGCAGCAACCACAACAGTACCAACAGCCGTACCAGGCTCGCGAAGTGCCTTACCCTCGTCGTCCGCTTGGTGTCATCTCCGGCACGGGTGGTCGCCCGACCTTGCAGGTAAGGAAGAGTCTCGATAAGTTTTATTTTTACAACGTCTATATCCTGTTTATTTATTCATTTATTTATCTGTTGAAGCTAATTAGGCTCGAGATAAAAACAGGTAAGACCTTCGCCACAGTCTAGCTAAGACCTTCACCAGGTCCCTCAATTGACGCTTCAATGGACTGGATTCACGAGTGTCGTTTCTCTAAAGTATTGTTGTCCTCTGCATCTTCAGACAGTTAGTTGTATTCATTGTTATTATTATTATTATCATTATTATTATTATTATAATTATATAACCGATTTTTTAATTTATTTAAAATTATATTTATATTTAAATTTTTTATTATTTCTACTGTCGGCTGTTCAAGACATCAAAATTTTTGCACACACGACACAACATAAATAATAATAACTGACATAAAATTTTATTTGTGGTTATTGAGTATAACGAACGGTTATGCGGTTGTTCACGTACCATCAACCTAACTAACGGTTATGTGGTTGTTCAGTATTTTAGAACCAGGGGCAAAAAATCTTGAATTTCGTAGAAAGATTTTGTAGATTTTCAAAAATAACCGACGACTGAACAAATTCCATATTTGTACTCGCGGGTTAAAAATTAGATAAAACGAAATAACCGCAAAATTATTCTAGGTGTTCGTACACTCTTATTGCCGATATTATTATTTATTTGCGAATTGCTGCACATTGTTATTGTTCTCTTCCCATCTTTCTCTTCCTCATAAATACGGCAAAAGCGAGACTTATATTACGCATCTTATATTGTTGTCGTCACGCAGTATTTTCAATGTCAATATTTGGCTTTTGTCGGTGTTGGCAGAAATATTTGGCTTTTGTCGGTGTTGTGAGAAAAGAATTTATCCAAAATATATACCTGCCTCTAATAATCATCATAATATATTATAAATCAACATTTCTAAATTAGTCGTCTCACTCACGTTATTCATTAATCAATGATTGACAGGACAATCCTAACAATCACTGTTGCTATTTAGCATTGCCTTGCTACTCATCAATTTCATTGTGTTCGATAAGGTAAGTGAGATACGTAGATCGTATCTAGAAGAGTATATACTTCCAATCCTTTTGAACTCAAGGAACCAAAGCCCGTTAATTTATTGACATACGCACGAATTAAGCTCCTATTGTTTATAATCTCAATTGTTTTTTGCCTAGTAATTATCCCATTGTTGACTTAGCTGTTTGTTGTCGTGCTGTGGGCACTTTGTTTACTTTGAGTATGCCTTTAACGGCTACAAGGTATAGAAAAACGTTATCTATAAACAAACAGTCCGTTATATCCTAACCTTGGGAACCATTTGTTATCAAGACGACTCTCGTTTTCCATATAAATGAAATCAATACAAAATTAATACGAATATTATAATTAAGTATTGTGTCATTTACACGATACTTAATCACTTGAAGGCTTCCTGGACAATTTTCATATGAATGAAACTGCATTTACTTTGCCTTAGGTGGTTTTTATACCCAAAGTAGCAGCTACACCTTATCAAGAACGTATGAAATGATTTAATGACGACAAGGCTGCACATTGCCATGGAACAATACTACATAATATAACATATTCATATTCAGTTCCTGATTTGATATGGAAGAATACAATTAACTAGTATTTTACTAAATGTTTAAATAAAAGAAATCTTATCTCACCTTGAAATTTTAACGAAACGATCAATTTACGCCGTCACAATCTCATTAAAGCAAAACGCTTTCAGCCTCGCCTCATTCACTTAATCAAGTTTTTTATTCAAAACATTTTCTTTAGATTGGTTAAATATATTGGAATCAAAATATTTTTATAACGTGCAATCGCGTTGATAAACGTCAACATTTTCTTTGAACAAGCGATCTCGTAAACAACTTTTACGGACGCCATGTAATAATTCGTTCAATATTAATATTACAAGTATATATCATATATTATATATTATTATCCAGAATATTATTATACGTATTATCCATAAAACAAATTTTTCTGGATGTCGTAAACTAAAAAAATTAGATCAGTACTCACTACAGTGAGTGACAGAGAGCGCATTTTCTCGTCCGTCCGTCCGTGAAGTCATCGACGGACGGACATGACAAGCACAATAGCGCCTTATTTTCATAAATGAGAAATTGCGCTAAAAATGAGCACAAAAATATACAAGATAGTAGAGTGCGTAGCACACTTGCGGGTACACCACAGCTGCCAGGCTGTATAGGCCTAAGGACCAGGAAGTCTGTCACTCAAAAGGCATCTGGTGAAAATCACCGCCGGCTAGCCGCAGTCGGCCGGCTCTAATCGTGCTCTAATGTCCACAGAGACATCCTGAAAAAATATAAATTTATAGTTCTTGATATTAAAAGCAAGTATTATTGTCATTTCACTCAAAAAGCATCTGGTGAAAATCACCGCCGGCTAGCCGCAGACGGCCGGCGCTAATCGTGCACTAATGTCCACAGAGACATCCTGAAAAAAACATAAATTTATAGTTCTTGATATTAATAGCAATTATTATTGTAATTTTGGGCTAATATAAGCGACTATTAACAATTAATCAATCTCAAACACGGGCGTTATTACAAAAGGATCATTAATTCCTATCACGAGTGATTTTATAAGATTATCCTTAATCCCAAATCCCGAGTGACGTTAAAAAATTATGGTTAATACCAAGACCAAGTTATGATTAGGGATCATTTTTATTCCCAAACATTAATCGTCTTGCCTCCGTTCTCGTGCTGAGTTGTTGCTGCAATGAGAACAGTTCAACAAGTCTCGATGATTTTTGCGAATTGAACGAGTCAATTTCAAATTACGAACGATCATCGGAATCGCGAGAGTACTGAAGTTTTACTGATTAATGTAAAATTAGGACGTTCTTGAATAGTAGAATTCACGACTGTGAGTTAGACAATACAACAGACAGAAAAAATTAGACAAAATTCAAGACAATCTAACATTCATGAGTTCCATATAGAATTAATGAGTCAGAGTATCATATACAGTATATTATAACAATAAAGGGGTATTAGAGTTCGAATCAACAACACTGCCTTTAGAGTTTGCTTTAATGCACCGTCTTTAGAGTTCGCTTTACTGTACCGTCTTTAGAGTTCGCTTCCACTGCACCGTCTTGAGAGTTCGCTTTACTGTACCGTCTTTAGAGTTTACATCTGTTGCACCGTTTTTAGAGTTCGCTACCACTGCACCGTCTTTAGAGTTCGCTTTACTGTACCGTCTTTAGAGTTCGTTTCCACTGCACATGTAATCTTTAGAGTTCGCTTCCACTGCACCGTCTTTAAAGTTCGCTTTACTGTACCGTCTTTAGAGTTCGCTTCCACTGCACCGTCTTTAGAGTTCGATTTACTGTACCGTCTTTAGAGTTCGCATTCACTGCACCGTCTTTAGAGTTCGCTTTACTGTACCGTCTTTAGAGTTCGCTTTACTGTACCGTCTTTAGAGTTCGCTTCCACTGCACAGTCCTTAGAGTTCGCTTCCACTGCACCGTCTTTAGAGTTCGCTTTACTGTACCGTCTGTAGAGTTCACTTCTACTGCATCGTCTTTAGAGTTCGCTTCCACTGTACCGTCTTTAGAGTTCGCTTTACTGTACCGTCTTTAGAGTTCGCTTCCACTGCACAGTCTTTAGAATTCGCTTCCCAAGCATCATCTTTAGAATCCGCATCCACTGCACAGTCTTTAGAGCTCGCTTCCACTGCACCGTCTTTAGAGTTCACTACCATCACCGTCTTTAGAGTTCGCTTCCATTGCACCCTCTTTAGAGTTTGCTACCACTGCACCGTCTTTAGAGTTCGCTTCCCTAGCACCATCTTTAGAGTTCGCTTCTACTGCACCGTCTTAAGAGTTCGCTCCTACTGCACCGTCTTTAGAGTTCGCTTCTACTGCACCGTCTTTAGAGTTCGCTTCCCCAGCACCATCTTTAGAGTTCGCTTCTACTGCACCGTCTTTAGAGTTCGCTTTACTGTACCGTCTTTAGAGATCGCTTCCACTGCACAGTCTTTAGAGTTCGCTTCCACTGCACTGTCTTTAGAGTTCGCTTTAGTGTACCGTTTTTAGAGTTCACTTCTACTGCACCGTCTTTAAAGTTCGCTTCCACTGTACCGTCTTTAGAGTTTGCTTCCACTGCACCGTCTTTAGAGTTCGCGTTACTGTACCGTCTTTAGAGTTCGCTTCCACTGCACATGTAATCTTTAGAGTTCGCTTCCACTGCACCGTATTTAGAGTTCGCTTTACTATACCGTCTTTAGAGTTCGCTTCCACTGCACCGTCTTTAGAGTTCGCTTTACTGTACCGTCTTTAGAGTTCGCTTCTACTGCACATGTAGTCTTTAGAGTTCGCTTCCACTGCACCGTCTTTAGAGTTCGCTTTACTGTACCGTCTTTAGAGTTCGCTTCCACTGCACATGTAGTCTTTAGAGTTCGCTACCACTGCACCGTCTTTAGAGTTCACTACCATCACCGTCTTTAGAGTTCACTACCACAGCACCATCTTTAGAGTTCGCTACCACTGCACCGTCTTTAGAGTCCGCATCTGATGTATCGTATTTAGAGTTCGGGTTCATTGCTACCACAATTAAAAAGACTTCGCAAATTTCGGGCAATCGACACATCGCAGTTGCATTGTTCTCGCAATTTTATCTACAAATAGACTCGAGGTTCCAGAATAACCTATTATTTTTTCGGCAGAAATTACCAGTCATTAGACAAACCAGTTCTTAACAGACGAGATTTCGCCATCCGGTCTCGGCAACGACTTACCGCATTGTCTGTAGAAAGTTTCGACGACACACCCTCGCGCATCCGACGCTCGTATCGACATGCAGATAACCTCCTCACTCCCTTGTCTGATAACAAAAACAAATTGAATAAATAGTTCCGCATATTTTGATCGTATCTGTAGTCCCTTAACGATCAACTTTGCAAATTACTCGTCTTTTTATGATCCATTTAACTAGGGCGATGGCATATCTTTTAACGACACTCTTTTATTCGGGGGTGATATAACTTTCCAAGCTTCGATACTAGGCAAAAAATATTCGCATGTTTATCACTTTATACGAAATATGAGTGCCCGATAAGAATAAGTTGATCTGTCATTGTTCCAAATAATTAATCCTTATATCCGCCATTTTACCATACAATCGGATAGTCCATCATCGCATCCGGTAGCCTACATTATGTATCACTATATGTCTACTTTAGTGTCAGTCAAATACCGCACCAGACTGACTGACTACAAGATATATCACAAACACCTGGCAAGTTACCAGCAGCTGACACAAATCCACTCATACAGAAATTTCTCCACTTCCGCTCAAAAACAGTGTTGTTTTTTCATTAATTATTTACATTTTCAATTATTGCGCTGACTGTTAGCCGTACTCTAAATAACTGTATCAGTTCATCTGCTGAGGTTAATTTTTACAATTCCAGCAGTTGGAAGAAAGAAAAGCTTGGAGATTTGAAGGGCGGGCGGCAGCGGGATGTCGGAAGCAACGTTCTAGCCACGTGCTTATAGATCAAATAAGTGTTGATGGCTCCCATTTTCTTTCGCCTCCTTTGATTTGGCACTTTTTGCGGAACAATTTTCATCGAAATCGTCATTGAATTAAACTGAAAAACGCAGCATCATAAAGTTTGATAGGCGTTTCCACAAAAAATTCCATTCAATCTATATATAACATAAAAATCTCACTTATAAATGAAATAACGAAGGTTTAAGTTGCCAATAAATCTACGCGTTCAGTCAGCAGTAAATAAAAACAAATAAATGATATATGACTTCTTGATAGACCTGAGATAAATCGATCAATAAAATTTCAGTTATATAGAAAATTAACGAATGTATTAGTTGCCAATGAATCCACGCGTTCAGTCAGCAGTAAATAAAAACAAATAAATGCTATATGACTTAATAGTAATAGACCTGAGATAAATCGATCAATAAAATTTCAGTTATATAGAAAATTAACGAATGTTTTAGTTGCCAATAAATCCACGCGTTCGGTCAGCAGTAAATAAAAACAAATAAATGATATTTGACTTAATATTAATAGACCTGAGATAAATCGATCAAACTGGAAGCCACAAGATGCAGCTTATAGAAAGTCGTCCATCCTGTACAAGAAAAAAATTACGCGCGCTAATGAGCCAGCGGATGGCAGCTGCTGCAGCTGCCACCGGTACCATATCCAAATTTAATTATGCAGTCAAATTAGAATTAAGTAGTAATTAGTACTAAGTGCTTAATTATTTAACAACACTTTAATATGCTACATGCCATCTACATTATATAAGCTTCCACCGCTTTTTTGAAGCAAATCACATCCTCTGTACATCATTTTCGTCGAATTCACACAGTTATTTATTTAGCAGTTATTAAAAAATTTTAGTTACTTGACTAATTTGTTACCTTCGTCATCACATTATCATCAACTCGTCCCCATATATATGTATTGTACACCCAATGTAATATATTTCAACAGATTATATTGTTGATGCTACTGAATATAACATTTCTGTTTATCTTTGATGTGCAAGGCAGTGCTTATAATGCGATTAAATAATTATGCAGGGGAAGGAAGATATAAATTGAATCTCATTACACATTACTTGCAATTTAAGAAATTAACGTTGATAATATAACAAAGGATTTATATCATACAACTTCATATTAAGGAATTGCATATAGTATTAAGACTGTTACTTCTGGTCTCGCATCTCATACATGTTCTATGCCTTGAATGTAAATGCACTGCTGTTTTAAATAATATATAACTTTGTGTATGTGATTCGAGACGATATTAATAGGAATATTAAAAAGTATTTATTTGTGCCTTTGCGATACTTCTTAATATTAATAAGAATTTTAATTAGTAATTATTTCTGGGCAGGCTAATTTTGTGTGTGATTCGGGACGATATTAGTAGAAATATCAAATATTATTTATTTGTGCCTATGAGATACTTGTTAATATCAATAAGAATTTTAATTAGTAATTATTTCTGGGCAGGCTAATTTTGTGTGTGTGATTCGGGACGAAGTTGAGAGGAATATTAAAGAGTATTTATTTGTGCGTATGCGAAACTTGGTAATATTAATAAAGATGTTAATTAGTAATTATTTTTGCACAGGCAAGGAGGGACAGCAAGCTGGGACAGCTGGCTGCGTCCCTGCGTCTGCAACGAGGCACCAGCGACGGGGACTGACAGACAGACAGGCGCCGATTACAGAAGATTTAACGATGCCGATTATCGGAGATTTATTGGTGCAGATTATTGCAGATTTTGACGGCGCTGATTGAAGATGATTTGTCTGCTTTCAATACAGAGGATTCGTCAGGGCTGATTGCAGGAGATTTATTGGTGCAGATTATTGCAGATTTTGACAGCGCTGATTGAAGATGATTTGTCTGCTCTGATTATAGAGGATTTGTCGGTGTAGATATGATCGGGGATTTGCCTGCGCTGATTACAGGAGAATTATTGTCGCTGATTATTGCAGATTTTCACCTCGATGATTAAATATGATTTGTCTGCTGTCATTATGGTGGATTTGTCAGCGCTGATTGCAGGAGAATTGTTGACGCTGAGTTTTGTAACTTCGACGGCGCTGGTTACAGGAGATTTTTTGGCGCTGATCAGCGAAGATTTTTCGGCGCTGATCATTGCAAATTTGTCGGTGTTGGTTACAGAAGATTTTTCGGCGCTGATCAACGAAGATTTTTCGGTGCTGTTTATTGCAAATTTGTCGGTGTTGGTTACAGGAGATTCGGCTGCGCTCATTATTGAAGATTTGCTGGCGTTGGTAATCGAATATTAAGCAGCGCCCACAACTGGTGATTTTTTCTGGCTGATTAGCATAGTTCTTTCTGCCCTTCTTAGCAAGGATTTATTTGAGCTGACTATTAAGATACAAACGGTGCGGATTAATGAAAATTCATCAGAGTCAATTATCGAAGGTTCACAGGCGCTGACTCCTGAAGATTTATCGATACTGAGTACCGAATTTTTAAAAGAAGTAATTTACACACAATAACATGACGGGCAACAAACTTAATGTACCGCAAGAATAGCACGTGACAAGATGGTTCAGTCGGGCGACGTTCTTAAGGCTGACACTGAACCGCAAACAAAAGGCTGAGACTGAACCGCAAACGGGCGAATAGATCTCCATGTCAATGGAAATGTTTTCGTCTGAATATCGTTATAAAATTAGTTTCTAGTGATAGAAAGAAAATAAACATGGCCAATATATGGAACAGCATATACAATTTTGGCAGAAGATCGTACTGTAACTTTTGATTCTTGCACCTCAGAAAACCATGTAGACCTGATCCAGTCGTGGAACTGAACAGCAAAGTCTCAATTTCGAAAACCAATCCGATGTTATTTGCTTGAGGTATTGGTCAACATTTCTGCTCGTCTCGCCATCATTTTCGGCCATCACTCATCACTGCCAATTTTTTACTGCAATACCTTCACTGCAAATCTCTTCACTGCCCGACTCTTCACTACCAATACATTCACTGCCAATTTCTTCACTGTCCGAATCTTCACTACCAATACCTTCACTGCCAAACTCTTCACTGCTCATGAAACTCTTCAATATTCACCGTTGCATTCAAATTTTCTGTCTATTTGGTATATTTAACCCAAAATATCCCCTGATTTACCCTGGATATAAAAGAATTTCTCTCAGCGAGTGGTTAGCATATTGTGTCGTAAAGAATGTACAAATGTAAGAATTATGCAGTGTACAGAGCAGCTGTCTGCATGCTGCTGTTACTGAGCAGAATTGTCGGCTTTGGTCTTCGTTCCATATTAATATCTAATATTTCTTATCTGTTCTCATTAACTGGTGACTGAATTCTATATGGTCAGCTGTCGTCCTTATCCGATGTATTCAACTAATTATTTTGTCCCATACATAGGAGGTGATACATATAAATATATATATGTCACCCGATAAAGACAGGAGTTGTTTCTATCAGTTATCGCAGGCTGGTGTGCTTATCCTTTTAATCAGATCTTGTCCTTGTCTCTACATCTATTACTCCTAGGACAATACTATAATTATCCTACTTTAAATATTATTCCCAACAATCACACGTACATAAAAATAAATCAATCTCATATGTCGGAATACCTGACCGTGTTAATTTGTGCTCCATTATTTAGTGCTGTTTATTTGAGCGTTAGTTCTATTATAATGTGCACATTGACGATTAGTTAATGTTGATTAGTTAAGCGTATCACTAACTACTCACAACTAGTAGTGAAGTGCATGTGCTAGTGAAATGAAAGACGTCAGCGATCGTCCGTATCAGCAGCGCTGACCAGGGCGGAATCGAAGACGTAGGTTATTATTAGTGTTGGTTGTTAGTTATAATTAATTGGGGATAACTGGTTATTGATTCAACCGTATTATTAAATATAATGCAAGTAATTATAGAACATTGAATATTCATGTTTACTTCCTGTATGACTTTATAAATAAGACCTTAAAGTCTGTGTTAAAAGACACACTGCACCGATCGCGCTACACCGAACACGCGCTACAGCGCTACATCAAACACGCGCTACAGCGCTACACCAAACATCAAACACACGCTACAGCGCTACACCAAACACACGCTACAGCGCTACACCAAACACACGCTACAGCGCTACATCAAACACGCTACAGCGCTACACCAAACACACGTTACAGCGCTACACCAAACGCGCTACAGCGCTACATCCAACACACGCTACAGCGCTACACCAAACACGCGCTACAGCGCTACATCGAACACACGCTACAGCGCTACACCAAACACGCGCTACAGCGCTACACCACACACACGCTACAGCGCTACACCAAACACACGCTACAGCGCTACATCAAACACACGCTACAGCGCTACATTGCACTACCTGCACGTAGGAATAAATAAAAAGTCTAAGGAATGAATTTTAATAAAAATAAAATGAATTTTGATAAAGAATAAAATAAATTTCAATTAGGAAAAAAATAAATTTTAACTAAGAATAAATTTTGGGTTTCATACAGCATTTTATGAAATTGTTTTTTGTACAGCGAAACTTTTATGTATATATAGAAATTGTTGAGTAATGTTTTAGTTTTGATCTCACTGTGTGTTTATCGTGTAATTCCTGGGCAAAAATAGTGTTTCTTTTCTCGTTGCCACCACGTGTCTTGAGGAACTCGTACGCTGGTCCATTAGTGGCGGACAGTACAATTTTAGTCGCCAGTAGTGACGGGGCAGTAGTGGCGGCAGTGGCCAGGAGTTGTGGTAGTGGCCAGTAGTGGCGGTGGCGGCCAGTAGTGGCCAGTAGTGGCGGTGGAGGCCAGTAGTGGCCAGTAGAGGTGGCCAGTAGAGGCGGCCAGTACAAGCACAAACAGCTATTGTTTACCGCGCTATTGGCTTCGTGTACAGGCGTTACAGGCCACGGAAGGACCCATTAATCCTTTACACGAGGCCAGTAGCCCGATAATTAGTGGCGGTTAGTATGTAAAATTGTACTGGCGGCCACTATTGGCTCCATGCACATGCACCTGTATGTACTTTCCGCCTGAGAACCTGCGATAGAATATAGCAGATGATACATGAATGGCCAATGAATGAACACCAACGGCCAAAGAATTAACAATAAATAACCTTCAGTTGGCAGTTATCTATGCTGCTAGTTAAGCTGGTTCCCCCTGTTCGTGAATACGTTCCCTTTGTCCAGGTTGCGTGATTTTTTTCGTTGTTTAATAAAAAGTTCAATAAGCGTGAACAATGACTCGTTTCTTGACCTCCAGACAATAGAAATGCGAGAAGAAGAAGAGAAACGGGCAGGAAAGAGATGCAATAATTACGAGATAATCAGAACGAATTGGCGAAAAAACTTGTTATAGGAAGAAGGAATTAATAGAATAGAATAGAATAGAAGTGTCGGCACTGAAGAAATAGGCCCATGGCCTGTTGCCGATTCTTGTTCATAGAATATAATAGAAGTGTCGGCACTGAAGAAATAGGCCCATGGCCTGTTGCCGATTCTTGAACTTTTCGTGACTTGATTCACAAGGGGTCCGGCCTTTGGAACCCGATCTTTCCATANGGGTAACTACGTGTTGATGCAGGGTAACTGCGTGTTGACGCAGAGTAACTACGTGTTGATGCAGGGTAACTATATACGTGTTGATGCAGGGTAACTTCGTGTTGATACTGGATAACTACGTGTTGATGCAGGAAAACTTGCGTATTAATACAAGTTAACTTGCGTATTTGTACAGGGTAACTTGCGTATTGATGCAGGGAAACTTGCGTATTAATACAGGGTAACTTGCGTATTAATACAGGGTAACTTGCGTATTAATACAGGGTAACTTGTGTTTTAATACAGGTAACTTGCGTTAATACATAGTAATTTGCGTATTAATACACGGTAACTTGCGTTTTAATATAGGGTAACTTGCGTTTTAATACATGGTAACTTGCGTATTAATACAAGGTAACTTGCGTTTTAATACAGGGTAACTTGCGTATTAATACAAGGTAACTTGTTTTTTAATGTAGGGTAACTTGCGTTTTAATACAGGGTAACTTGCGTTTTAATACAGGGTAACTTGCGTTTTAATTCAGGGTAACTTTCGTATTAATTTAAGATAACTTGCGTATTAATACAAGGTAACTCACGAGTTTATGCTGGTATTTCAAGTGATGATAGTGAATAACAAGCGAAAATATTTGGCGAATGTGAGTGAGTGTTCTTCTTAATCGCGCTCCGAAATCCTGCTTAATTCGAGGGAAGCTTTGTCCACAAATTTTACTATACTGACCTCCGTTTTATTCAGTAAGTTTCATCAGATTTTGAAAATTAGCAGGATCATCCTTTCATTAAGGCTATGTTCATCATAGTAAAAGTTTAGTAATAAGAAGATGAATCATATATTTGAGATTATACTTAATCAATATTAAAACTACTTATTGAAATTTAATTAAGATTATACATTGATTGAAAAAATCATATTTGAGTTAAAATGAAAAAATAACACCAGTTCAAAACGGCAGCAAAAACTGAATACTGGGAACAGCAACCGACATCAGAGGTGTAGATTTGACAGTAGCTGTGCAGTAGACAGGGTAGCAGTGAAGATAACAGAGGTGTAGATTTGACAGTAGCTGTGCAGTAGACAGGGTAGACTGAACATATGCTCCTGCATAGCTTCGTCTGGACTTATTGCCTGGTCCGTAATTTGCTAGGCATTTTAAGACGGAATGATGCATTGGAAGCAATAATGATGCCGGGTAGCTCACGTGCTGATGCAGGATGCCGTGAAACTCTATTGAAAAACAAGCAAAAATCTTTGGCGAATGTAAAGTGAGTGTTCTTCTTAACCACGCGCCGAAATCCTGCCTAATTTGAGGGAAATTTTTTCCATAATTTTACTATAATTTCCTCCTTTTTATTCAGTAAATTTTATCAGATTTTGAAACTTTGCAGTCACATCCTTCACTAAAGTTATGTTCATCATAGTGAAAGCTTAGTAATAAGGGGAATAATCATTTAATTTAAAATGATAACTAATCACTAAATTAATTATTGATTAAAGTTACTCATCATATTTCAGTGGAGATGAAGAGTTGACAGTAGCTGTGCAGTAGACAGTGTGGCAGTGAAGATAACAGAGGTGAAGAGTTGACAGTTGCTGTGCAGTAGACAGGGTGACAGTGAAGATAACAGAGGTGGAGAGTTGACAGTAGCTGTGCAACAGACAGTGTGACAGTGAAGATAACAGAGGTGGAGAGTTGACAGTAGCTGTGCAGTAGACAGGATGGCAGTGAAGATAACAGAGGTGGAGAGTTGACAGTTGCTGTGCAGTAGACAGGATGGCAGTGAAGATAACAGAGGTGGAGAGTTGACAGTTGCTGTGCAGTAGACAGGGTGACAGTGAAGATAACAGAGGTGGAGAGTTGACAGTTGCTGTGCAGTAGACAGGGTGACAGTGAAGATAACAGAGGTGGAGAGTTGACAGTAGCTGTGCAACAGACAGTGTGACAGTGAAGATAACAGAGGTGGAGAGTTGACAGTAGCTGTGCAGTAGACAGGATGGCAGTGAAGATAACAGAGGTGGAGAGTTGACAGTTGCTGTGCAGTAGACAGGATGGCAGTGAAGATAACAGAGGTGGAGAGTTGACAGTTGCTGTGCAGTAGACAGGGTGACAGTGAAGATAACAGAGGTGGAGAGTTGACAGTTGCTGTGCAGTAGACAGGGTGACAGTGAAGATAACAGAGGTGGAGAGTTGACAGTAGCTGTGCAACAGACAGTGTGACAGTGAAGATAACAGAGGTGGAGAGTTGACAGTAGCTGTGCAGNATAAGGGCTGGATGATGTTGAGGATGTTGCTGGGGTGATAAGGGCTGGATGATGTTGTGGATGTTGCTGAGGTGATAAGGGCTGGATGACGTTGAGGATGTTGCTGGGGTGATAAGGGCCGGATGACGTCGAACATGTTGCTGGGATGGATATAGATAGCCCGCTCGGCCCTGACAATGGCGGTCGGATTACAGATTGTGATAGGCTTATTACTACCTAATTACGTTCAGGTCTTCTCGTACGAATAGCATTGTTCCATGAATAGCATTGTATGCACTAGCTCTTGGCATCGATGACATCAATAGAATGCGAGGATATTTCTCACGTCTCGCAGGAATGACGCTGCGAAAAATATTTCGATTTTTAACCCAATTGGGTAGATTAATGAGGCAACAAGTGTACCATATCCTGCCTCATTACGGGCATGCAATCACGCCACGTGGAATACGGGCCGGGTGAGGCCTAAGAATTGCAGTAGGAAACACGGAAAAGGGCGGGCAATACGGGCTGGGTGAGGCTAAAGAATTGTAGTAGAAAACACGGATAAGGGAGGGCAATACGGGGCCGGGTGAAGCTTACGAATTGCAGTAGAAAACACGGATAAGGGAGGACAATACGGGGCCGGGTGAGGCTTACGAATTGCAATAGAAAACACGGATAAGGGAGGGCAATACGGGGCCGGGTCAGGCTTGCGAATTGCAGTAGGAAACACGGATAAGGGAGGGCAATACGGGGCCGTGTGAGGCTTACGAATTGCAGTAGGAAACACGGAAAAGGGAGGGCAATACGGGACCGGGTGAGGCTTACGAATTGCAGTAGGAAACACGGAAAAGGGAGAGCCATACGGGGCCGGGTGAGGCTTACGAATTGCAAACGGAAACACGGATAAGGGAGGGCAATACGGGCCGGGTGAGGCGTACGAGTTGCTGTAGGAAACACGGATGCTCCAACTGTCATTTTTTATTTTCCGTCTAGAACACCTTCCTTCTGCTGATTTCTTCTACATTTCTTATTTATTTACAACCTTTTAAAATCATTATCTCTAAGACACATCAGAATCTTAGGTTCGTTTTTCTTCATGATATATTCTTTTATAATCATCTGATTTATATTTGTATTTGCCATACTTTTTTGTAGCACTTACTATATGTTCAAATATTTAACCTCATTATTTCCATTTACTGTATTGAAGACTCTTCGGGGCCAGACCTTCACGAAATTAAATTTTTTGTCTGCCGGAAAATTCTTAGCCGTCGTCAAGATTTCAACTAAATCGTCCGCAATTTCAATATGTCGTATATGCTAATGTGCAT